TGTAGGGGGACAGGCCCGACTTAATGTTATGCGTAATATTAAATTGAAAGCTGTGAGCAGTGGAGGGAGATTTGGCGGATGAGCATACGGATGCGCTGGGGGATAAGCATGAGGACGAGCGCGAGGAGGAGGAGCAGGATAAGAAGGGAGGAGGACGAGGAGGAACTGTAGCAACAGCTGGGGCAGAAGGGGCGGGAAGAGCAGGAGGTCCAGGGCAAGGCATGGGAGGGGAAAGGAAGGGAGCGACAGCGACGAGGAAGCATGCGGATCCAGAAATGTGGCCTGCGCTGTGGCGAGAGCGTTATTCTCAACGACCAGGGCCACGCGCTGACCCTGACGTGAGGCCCACGCTGCAGCGAGAACACCATTTCGAAACACCGAAAACTGTCAGAACATCTGAAAGACAAGCTGTTAACACCCTTTGTGAGGGACGGTATGCGGAGAGGGTCGAACATCTTCAGGACAGAGTCGGGGCAGAGAGGAGTGTAGTGTTCATTATGTGTTTTCCCATATCCTAAGTGGGGTTCTTGTTTTCTCTGGACACCCCGCGCAGTTCTCACCCACACCCTGTCCTCTTCACACCCACTCCTCCTGCCATCATGATCATCATCATCACTACCACCACCATTAATTATCATTATACTCATCATCATCACTCCCACCATCCCATCAGCATCATCAACCTTCATCGCCATCCACTCACACTCTCACTCACCCACATTCGCTCATCACTGAGTCGTCATGATTTCCTCATTCCAACCTGATCATATGCCATCAGCAACGCATACCACCATCGTCACTACTATCACCATCCCATCATGGTAATCGGCCAAGAGGGGCCTCGTCTGTGAGTGAATTGCGCGGAAGTCTCAGGCGGGAGCCCCCTCCCTACGGAGCCCACCTTTCGTGTTTGTAATCGGAGCGGGTCGTCCAAACCTTGTCACCGTCGTCGTCACTTTTGGGCCCCTCACGCCTGAATTTCGAAGAAGCCTCAGGCGGGAGCCTCGTATGTGAGTGAATTTTAAGGAAGTCTTAGGCGGGACCCCCCTCCCTATGGAGCCCGCGTTTCATGTTGGCAATCGGAGCGGGTCATCCAAACCCTGAGACGGTCGTCATTCTTGGGCCCCTATCACACCTGATTTTGGAGGAGATTCCTTAGGCGGGGGCCTGGTATGTGAGTGAATTGCGAGATAGCCTCAGGCGGGAGTCTCCTCCCTATGGAGCCCGCACTTCATGCTGGTAATCGAAGCGGGTCATCCCATCTAAACCTTGTGACGGTCGTCATTTTTGGGCCCCTCACGCTTGAATTTTGAAGAAGCCTCAGGCGGGAGCCCCGTATGTGAGTGAATTGCAAGAAGTCTCGGGCGGAAGCCCCCTCCCTATGGAGCCCGCGCTTCATGTGGGTAATCGGAGCGGGCCGTCCAAACCTTCTAACTGTCGATCACTGTTGGGCCCCTCACGCTGATTTTGAAAAAGCCTCAGGCGGGAGCCTCGTTTGTGAGTGAGCTGCGAGGATGTTTAATGCGGGAGCCCCTTCCCTATGGAGCCTGCACTTCATGTTGGTAATCGGAGCGGGTCGTCCAAATCTTGTAATTGTCGTCACTTGTGGGCCCCTCACGCCTGAATTTCGAAGAAGCCTCAGGCGGGAGCTCCATCAGTGAGTGAATTGAGAGGGACCAGTATCACTCCGACGGTAGGACCCCAGTCTCGAGTGAGAGCCCCCGCGCTATGGGGCCCGCGGCTCCATGTTAGAGTCCGATCGAGTCCTCGGGATCTCGTAGCTGTCGTCACCGTTGGGTTCAGGAACGAAGGTTGATGCGAACCCTCGCGGGCTAATCGGAGCGGGGTCAATGTTGTGCTCTTAAGACGGCCACTCGCTCGACCCATCATTTGAGGAGGTAGAGGATGAACAGGAATTGAGGAGGACAACGGCGGCCGGGAGAAGGGGGAAACCTTTGCGTCCGGGCTGGGGGTTGTGAACCCATCCTGGGCCGAAGCGGGCGCAGTGGGAAACCCTTGCGCCCTTGCTGGCGGTGGTAACCCATCGTCAGCCGAATCGGGTGGAAGGTGGAACTCCTTTCTCCGGTCTGGCGGTGGTAACCCATCGTCAGCCGAATCGGGCGCAGGGGGAAACCCTTGCGTCCGGTCCAGGGTGGTAACCCATCCACAGCCGAATCACCCTTCTGACCGGTTTCGCGGAGGTAGCCCATGGTGAGCCGAATCATGCGCAGGGGACGACCGTGTATGTGGGGCTCGTGCAGGAGCAACGGGTCATCATCGTGTCATTCGAGTTCCACCCCGAGGACGAGCAGCGGCACGAGGAGAGCTTTGCAGGCCAGCACCTTCGACCCCGCTTCCTGCCGCAGGGAATATGGTTGCAGGTGCGCGGCTTCAAAGTCTCCGATTGATCGGGAGGTCACCGAGCTGCTGCCAGAGCGCCGAAAGCGCCGACGACGACGGCCAGGCCGAGGCGCGGGGGCACGGAGCTTGAATACTCCTAGGCCCAGCGAGCAGGAGCTCACGTGGCAGAGTTCGGGGCCGCACGCCGTGCGCCGCTCGGGCATTGCCATGACGCGCGCGTCCTACCTGACCTCCACGCCGTCGCAGGGCTAGACGCTGCGCAAGGGCGCCACTATCGACTGAGCGAGGGACGAGGACGCTGGCCGCGCGGGTGTGTCGGACGGCCAGTGGCGGCTGCATTTCTACGTCGTGTTCTCCCGCGCCATGCGCATGCGGAACATGCGGATCCTGCGGCCGCCGCCGCGAGAGTTCCAAGGGCGAGGGCCGCCGGCATCCCTGCGGAAGGCGCTTCTGGAGTTCGACTTTAAAGCGGAGAGCTCCAGGGCAGATGCGGAGCAGCTCGCGGCAATGCTGGGCTTCGTGCTGCCCCCCGCCTGAGCGCGTCGGCGCCCCGCTCGAAGCCCGCGGGGTTGCCCCGACGGCTTGGTCTCGCGCGCCAGCGGCTCGCGGGGTTGTCCAGACGTCCGGGCCCACGGCTGCGCGACGTTGCTGTTCGACGCGCTCGTGCTGGCCGAGGCGGCGACGGCGCCGGGGAAATTCGACGCGCGTTTATGGTTGTTTGGTTCATATCTTAAAATGAAGTATAATTATTCGTATTATTCGTATTATTATGTTATATAAAAAGGTGGGCGGGGAAGGGGGTACCGTAGAGAGTCCGCGCCAAGGCGAGGAGGAAAATGACGAAGAGGAGACAGGCAGGACGCTTCGATGTTCGCGAGGAGGACGATGAGGGTTATTTCCAATTTCGTCGAGAGGATTCCCACGCGGGGTCCGTACCGTCGGAGTACTTTTAGACGGATGGTGGCGAGGACGACGAGGAGGCATCTTATGGGGCCTCTTGGCGCCTCCTGGGGTTTCCTTGGGGCCGGCTTGGGGTTTATGAGGGGCTTATGGAGGGCCTGTGAAGGCCTCCTGGGGACCTCCTGGGCCGTCCCAGGGCTTTCTTGGCCGATTCGGGGCTCTCTTGGAGCATTTAGGGGCTCCTTCGGTTCGCTTAGATCCGGGAAAATGGCGAGGAGTGCCCCAGGGAACGCCCAGGCGTTTTGTTTCATTTTTCCATACAGAAAAAGAGGATTGCAAGGATTAGAGGCACTCCAGTTCGTGTGTTGGGGCTATGGCAGGGAGGCGCCCTGCACTTACCCACAGAGGCCTAATGACAAACCAAGAGGGCCCCCAGACGGTTCCAGAGGCCCCGGGACGTTTTAAGACACGCCCGGACCAAAAAGGATTCACAGCGGCCGAATATGGGCCTCGGACAGCCTCACGAGACTTGTGAGGTTACTGTCGAGAGGCTCCCGCGAGGCCCTTTGGAGGCTTCGCTAGGCCCCAGGCCGGGGGGGGGAAGTTTTGTGGCGTGGGGTACGTATGGGGAGAGCTCCCAGAGGGGAAGAAGGGCTGAAATCTAGGTTCCGACAACCAGAATTTTGTAAACTACGCCCCCCCCCCCAAAGAAATTAACCATTATTACATTGGAGACCGTGACTGGGACCGTGACCTGGACCGGAAAGCTCAGGACAAACCCGAGTCTCGCAGCCTGGAAGCTCCACGCAGGGGCTGGTGGATCTCGTCTGATTGCACTCATCCGCGAGGCCTCTCTTACAAATCGAGGCCCACGCGGGGCTCACGCCAGGCCAGTGATTTTTTTCGACGCTGGTGAGCCCAATGAGGTGTGTGTGTGTGTGTGCGTGTGTGTGTGCGTGTCTGTTTGTGCGTGCTTGCGTGCGTGCGTGCGTGCGTGCGTGCGTGCGTACGGTCGTGCGTGCGGTCGTGCGTGCGTGCGTGCGTGCGTGCGTGTGTGCGTGCGTGTGTGTTTGTGCGTGTGTGTGTGTGTGTGTGTGTGTGTGTGTGTGTGTGTGTGTGTGTGTGTGTGCGTGTGTGCGTGTGCGTGCGTGCGTGCGTGCGTGCGTGCGTGCGTGCGTGCGTGCGTGCGTGTGTGTGTGTGTGTGTGTGTGTGTGTGTGTGTGTGTGTGTGTGTGTGTGTGTGTGTGTGTGTGCGTGCGTGCGTGCGTGTGTGTGTGTGTGTGCGCGTGTGTGTGTGTAGGATTGTCCGTGTGCGTATATGTGAGAGTGTGTGTGTGTGTGCTTGTGAGTGTGGTGCCCCATGTGGGTGGAACGCCACGTGTGTGGGGTTGGGAACCCATGCGTGTGGAATCCCGTGTGGAGTGCCGCATCCACCCGCATGACTTTGCACACGGATCAATGGACGACTCGGCATGACCCCCCTTTCCACGTGACGCCGTTGTTATTGACCAGGTGGCCCTAAGAAGGGTAGACACGCCTTTGCACCACCGTTAAAGAACAATTTTGCAGCACATGTAAAGGGATCATTCCGTTTTCCCCCCCATCCCCCTCCCGGCTTTGATACTGAAGAAAGGACCCGAACATGCAGGGCCAGAAACTAAATAGGACCCAACGCCTCGCGTGAAATTCCTTCCAGCGTGAACGCCAGCGGATGGAGGGGGAACTCTTTTTTTATTGTTCGGGCGCTGGTGTTCCAAAGCTCTTCCGTTCAACTGCATGCGTGGGTGTTGCAACGTGGGTTAGGGGGAGGGGTAACCTCCTTCCTTGCTTGGTGTTGACCGCCTACGCCCAGAGGACGGGCGGGAATTCCCACGCCCAACTTCCAGCCTGCAAGGGCAGGTTCGGCTCGCGCCGGCGCTTTGCGGCCCTTCGTCGGCCGGCGGCGGCGGCGTGAGGATGGCCAGGGCTGTGCTGCCCAGCGCCGACGGCGCGGGCGAGCTGCCCAGGCAGGCGGGCGCCGCCTACTCCCAGGTGGAGCCGCTCGTCGGGCCGCGGGAGTTCGAGTGGAGTCGCTCGTGGGCCCAGGAGCAGGGGAACAGACGAGGACATAACATACAGTCGGCCCGCATCGTAAGCATGGGCAACCTTCCCAAGGGTGTCCTTGCATCCATTTCCTTCGGCCCATCCCTGGCCGCTTTCGCTGTCCGCGCCCCGCCCCCAAAGCGTCGACATGGCCTTCCAAGGCCCTTGTATCCTTACCGCGCATCCTTATTATACGGGTTGACTTTGCAAACTCGGAGGTCCGCGCGGATTTCTCGGATCGGCGCTGGGCCCCCCTCCCTGGCGCGCGGAGTGCGCCATGGGCGGCGCCGGAGGCGCCGCCAGCGTGTCGGTTGTTTGTTCCACTATTTGTTTCATTGCAGGAGGCACAGGCGCTGGAGGAGTCGATCGGGCGCGCCCCCGAGCTCGGCGGCGACCTGGCCGCTTCCTCGGAGCAGGCGCGTCCTGCTGCGCGAGTGGCGCTGGGCGTACTGTGCCTTACTCGGAGAAGAAAAAGCTGCATAGTCACTATCTTTCGGCGGTCCTCACGGGTTTCTTGGATCTGCGTTTGCCCCCCCAGGCGGTGCCTCCAGCGTCGCCCCTGGCGCGCTCCGCGCGCCGGGGAGGGGGGCCCAGCGCCGCTCCGAGAAATCTGCGCGGACCTCCAAGAGTTTATGCTTATGCCGTTTTTTGTTCCTCTACTTACGGCGTTCGCAGCTGCCGCTTTGTGTCAGGCTTGCTCTTGGCCTTTCCGGGTCGAAGCTGACGTGCCGACCCGCAGGTCGGAGCCCGCTCCCGGCGGTGTGGTGCAGCAGGCCCACCCTCGCGCGCTTGTCACGAGGGTGGCGAGGTACGAGTTCAAACTCATTAGCTCGGGACTGTGCCAAGACACTGGCTGGTCAATAGTCGCGGACTCCGACACCTGCGAGGCCGCGGCAAAGCAACTGCAGCTGGATGGCTCGCACGTCACGATCACCACCGAAGTGGGCGTACCCGACGGCTGCTACTACCGCAACGGCTCTTCTGGCAGCGCTGGCGCGCTCTTCCTGAGCACCAGCCCGCTGAATCGTGGCAGCCGAGACTATCAGTCTGACGTCCAGGGGGAGGTGAACCAGCGAGTCTGTTCCCAGACGGTGGCTGCCAGCTTCACCAGGGAGCAGGCCCAGGACGACGCACGGCAGCAGATCGCTTTTGCTACCTCCATGTTGATGGTTGGGAAGGTGGACGGTCTGGACGTGGACGTCCCTGTTCGCGAGGGCAGCAAGTTGACCGCTTTTCAGGCACCAGCGCCCCATGGGAGTGCGGACACGACAGTGGCCCCCACGACCACGACTGCCGCCCCCGCAACGTCCAAGGCGCCCCACGGCCGTGCGAACACGACTGGTGCGGGCACGACGGGTGCGAACACGACTGGTGCGAACACGACGGGAACGAACACGACGGGCACGAATACGACGTCCAAGGTGCCTCCCTCCAACTTGCCGGTGGCGGTCGCTGTGAAGCCTTTGGAAATCATAAAGGCGATAGGGTATGCTCCTGTTCCGCTGAGAGGCGTGGGCGAGCACTTGCCGAACGATGATTTCATGCAGGCCAACACTTCAGCGTTGTGGGGGCCTGACGGGCGGCAGGACCTCAGTATCATGAGGTCGCTTGGGGCCAATGCAGTGCGGCTCTATGGCAACGATCCGTCCCTGGACCATGGGTCCTTCCTCGATGAGGCGCAGAAGGAGGGCCTGGAGGTCATCGCGGGCATGAGCGATTACGCGTACACTCAGATGTACGGCTCCTGCAAGGACACGGAATTTGATTGCTACAGGCAGATCAAGGAACAGTATTTGGCCAATCTCAAGGGGGGGTTCCTGCAGGACAACGGTCACTACCACCCAGCCCTCAAGGTCGTGGTCCTCATTAACGAACCGGACCTGAAGTTGAGCCACGATTCCGGAGTCGTCGCTAGTCCCGAAAAGTTCTGCAAGGCCATTGTGAGTGCATTCGACGCTGTGCTGGACGCGGAGAAGGAGGTGAGAGCTTTAGGCCCCGCGCCAAATTTCAGTGCCACGTTCTCGTATGGGGTGTGCTATGAATGCGCGGGCATTGACAAGACGATGCCCGCGTACGGGCAGATGCGTGAGCTGAGGAAGGCTATGAAAAAGCCCTCAAGCGTGGGTTACGCTGCAAAGAACAACCTCTGGGCTGCATATCATGAGCGCTTTGTGAACAGCGTCAATACTGAGAACAGGGCTGAGGATTACCAGGAGTTTTTCCAGCTCAGGTACGATGCCGAGTTCCAGGGCACCCCCGTCTTCCTCGGTGAGTACCACGCGCCTCCTTTCGACCAGGTGGAGGACCTCCAGTCGATCATCAAGATCGCAGAGAACCGGTCCAGCCTTTTGACAGGGCTTTCCTTCTTCGAATTTCAGACCCGCTACGATAAAGGCGGTGTGGGCGAGATGTCCTTCGGGATGTTCGGCCTTGGAGACACGACTCTTGGCAGCTTCAACATGTATGACAAGGAGGTCCAAGCGTACTGCCTCACGTCGACCCGCGCTGGTGTGGGCAACCACGTCGTCCATCACGCCCTTGCCAAGGCCTTCAACGGCTCTGGGCTCAAGAGTGAGGACCTGTGCCCTGGCACCCCGGCCGACATGATATGAGGTCTGCGCGGCAAGCCTCTTTCGCGCTCGCTGGGCTCATCCTCGGCTGCTTTTCTCGGGCCCTCTTACCGCACCTCGGAGGAGGGAAGAGGGTTACCATAGCCACCGGGACGGGGGGGGGCAGAGGGAAGAGGGGATTGAGGGTGGCTAGTGAACCAAGGGTACTTCCGCGAGGCCTCACATAGCGTCTTTCAAGTCGGGCAGTTGTGGTGCTTCCCTTTATTGTTGATGGTGGGGGGGGGCGGGTCGGCTTCTTTCTCCCTGACTTCCTCGACCTGTTCAGCTCGCACGTTCTTGTTCCCAACCATCCTGTGGTGTTGGCTCCTCGTTTTGAAGAGACAGCGCCCCGCGTCTCCTTCCTCTCCTCTCCTCTCCTCTCCTCTCCTCTCCTCTCCTCTCCTCTCCTCCTCCTCCTCCTTCTTCCGCTCCTTCCTCCTCCCCCTCCTCCCACCATCAGCATCATCATCATCATCATCATCATCATCATCATCATCATCATCATCAGCATCATCATCATCATCATCCTTCCCCTCCTCCCTCCCTCCCGTGCAGTCATCATTATCATCGTCGTCCGAGGGTGGCCCGATAGGGAGCGTCGTCCGAGGGTGGCCCGATGGGGAGCTCCGCAGAAGGCCTCAGTGGCAGGGTTAGCATGCAGTTCAACCCTCCTCTCGGCGCACCCCTCACACGGTTCGTGGCCCCATAGGGAGCTCCACCGCAGGCCACAGCGGCAGGGTTCGCATGCAGTGCCACCCTCATTTCGGCGCACCCCTCATACGGTTCGTGACCCCAGAAGGGGGCTCCACCGAATGCTCCAGTGGCAGGGTTCGCATGCAGCCCATCTCGGCGCACGCCTCACACGGTTCGTGGCCCCATGAGGGGGTTCCACCGAATGTTCCAGTGGCAGGGTTCGCATGCAGTTCCACCTTCATCTCGGCACACCCCTTACACGGTTCGTGGCCCCATAGGGAGCTTCATCGAAGGCCCCAGGGGCAGGGCTTGCATGAAGTTTTGCGCCTATTTCGGTGTCCTTCTCACAGGCTTCGTGGCCCCATAGGGAGCTCCACCGAAGGCCCCACTGGCGGGGTTCGCATGCAGTTCCACCCTCATTTCGGTGCCCTTCTCACACAGATCGTGACCACATCGGGAGTTCCACCGAAGGCCGTTGTGGCAGGCTTCGCATGCAGTTCCGCCCTCATCTCGGTGCCCCCCTCACACGGTTCGTGGCCCCATAGGAGCGGGGGAGTATCACCGAAGGCCCCAGTGGCAGGGTTCGCGTGCAGCTTCACAACGTCATTTCGGCGCATTTCGGCACGCCCGTCACACGGTTCGTGGCCCCATAAGAAGTTCCACCGAAAGCGGCACCCACAATGCGGTATTCGCAGTTGCATATGGTTGGGTCTTTCGTCAGGCTATGTTTGCTCAACCATTTGTGGCAATTGGCCATCGTTTTGAAGAGGCAGCGCCCCGCGTGCTCCTTCCTCCTCTCCTCCTCCTCCTCCTCCTCCTTCTCCTCCTCTCCTCCTCCTCCTCCTCCTCCTCCTCCTCCTCTTCCTTGTCCCCCTCCCCCTCCTCCTCCTCCTCCTCCTCCTCCTCCTCCTCCTCCGCCTCCTCCTCCTCCTCTTCCCTCTCCTCCTCCGCCTCCTCCTCCTCCTCCTCCTCCTCCACTGATCCTCCTCCTCCTGCTCCACCTCCTCCTCCTCCCCCTCCTCCTCCTCCTCCTCCTCCTCCTTGTCCTCCTCTGCTCCTCCTCCCCCTCCATCCTCCATCCTGCTCTCAGTCGTGCTGGCTCCATCCTCCATTGTGCTTGCTCAATTTCGGCACACCCCTCACACGCTTCGTGGCCCCAGAGGGAGCTCCACCGAAGGCCACAGTGGCGACGTTCCCACGCGTCCCCGCCACACATTGTCGGCACACCACTCACACGCTTCGTGGCTCCAGAGGGAGCTCCACCGAACAGCCCCAGTGGCAGGGTTCCCATGTGTCCCCCCCGCCCATTTCGGAACACCCCTCACACGCTTCGTGGCGCCATGGGGAGCTCCACCGACGGCCCCAGTGGCGACGTCCCCATGCGCCCCCGCCACATATTTTCGGCACACCTCTCACACGCTTCGTGGCCCCATAGGGAGCTCCACCGAACGGCCCCAGCGACAGGGTTCGCATGCGCCCCTCCGCAAATTTCGGTACACCCCTCTCACGCTTCGTGGCCCCATAGGGAGCTCCACCGAAGGCCACAGTGGCAGGGTTCGCATGCGCTTCCCCCCCCCGCCCATTTCGGCATACCCATCACACGCTTCGTGGCCCATAGGGAGGTCCACCGAAGGCCCCAGTGGCAGGGTTCCCATACGTCCCCGCCACTCATGTTTGGCACACCCCTCACAGGCTTCGCGGCCCCATAAATGGCTCCACCGAACGCCCCAGTGGCAGGGTTCGCCTGCGCCCCTCCGCCCATGTCGGCACACCCTCACACGCATCGTGGCCCCATAGGGAGCTCCACCGAAGGCCCCAGTGGCAGGGTCCCCATGCGTCCCCGCCACCCAATGTTGGCACACCCCTCGCGGGCTTCGCGGCCCCATAAAGGGCTCCACCGAACCCCCCATCACACACTTCGCGGCCCCATAAAAGGCTCCACCGACGGCTCCAGTGGCGACGTTCCCGTGCGTCCACGCCACATATTTTCGGCATGCCCCCCCCCCCCCCCGCACGGGTCGTGGCCCCACGGGGAGCTCCACTTACGCCCCAGTGAGGACGTTCCCATGCATCCCCGCCACCCTTTTTGGCACATCGTTGACACGGTCCGTGGCCCCATAGGGAGCTCCACCTAAGGCTCCAGTGGCGACGTTCCCATGCGTCCCCGCCACCCTTTTTGGCACACCCTTCACACGATTCGTGGCCCGATGGGGGGTTCCACCTAAAGCACCAGTGGCGTTGTTCCCATGCGTCCACGCTACATATTTTCGGCATGCCGCCCCGCACGGGTCGTGGCCCGATGGGGAGCTCCACTTGAGGCCACCGTGGCGACGTTCCCATGCATCCCCGCCACCCTTTTTGGCACACCATTCACAATTCACACGGTCCGTGGCCCCATAGGGAGCTCCACCTAAGGCTCCCGTGGCGACGTTCCCATGCGTCCACGCCACCCATCCTGGCACACCCTTCACACGGTTCTTGGCCCGATGGGGAGCTCCATCTAAACCACCAGCGGCGACGTTCCCATGCGTCCCCGCTACCCATTTTAGCACGCGTTTCAACAGGTCCGTGGCCCCATAGGAGCTCCACAAGGCCCTAGTTGCGACCTTCCCATACGCCCCCGCCGCCCATTTTGGCACACCCCTCACACGCTTCGTGGCCCCGTAGGGAGCGCCACCGAAGACGATATCCACAACTGCGGTACTCACATCTGCGAATTGTTGGGTCTTTCGCCAGGCTAAGTTTTTTCGCAGCGTTCTCGAGATATTGCAAGACGTTTCCAGAACCCCTCGGACCCCCCCCCCACAGCGGAGACGCGACTCAGGGAGCCGTCGCGCCGTGGTAGAATGCATTTGAATTCTTGGCGCTTCGCGTGCCCCCATCAAATCATCCAGAACTGACGCCCATGCGAGTTGAGACGTGAATGTATGCGTAGAAACAAAAGTAGGGACAGTCGTTATCGTTCAATGGGGGTGGGAGGCGGAGTAGTAGTAGTAGTAGTAGTAGTAGTAGTAGTAGTAGTAGTAGTAGTAGTAGTAGTAGTAGTAGTAGTAGTAGTAGTAGTAGTAGTAGTAGTAGTAGTAGTAGTCGTTAGTTAATAGTAGTAGTAGTAGTAGTAGTAGTAGTAGTAGTAGTAGTAGTAGTAGTAGTGGTAGTAGTAGTAGTAGTAGAGTTAGTAGTACTAGTCATAGTAGTAGTAGTAGTAGTAGTAGTAGTAGTAGTAGTAGAAGTAGTGGTA